TTTTTTTCCTTTTTTGTTATTTTTTTAAAAATCTCTAACCATTATTTTAATACATTCTCTTTGAGTGGGGAGATAAAATTTTCCAAAAAAAAAATTTACCCTTGTACATGAAATCTAAAAATATCTTACAAAATTCAAAACCTATTCCAAATTGTGAAAATAAAAATATTTGGGAGGGCAACATAATGAGAACTGCAAAAAAAAAGAGTAAATAGTGTTGAACAACATAATGCCTAGATTTCATCAAACACGTCGTATTCCCCTTTTCCAATCATTTTAGAATAGGTTGGTACATATTACTCACTCCATCTTAAAATATACTCCCTCCACCCTATTTTAAGTACAACCGTGGGTTTTTTTTTCCAAATTTAATTGTCTGTCTTATTTAATTTTTTTTGTAAAAAATTAAAAAACATAAGTCACGCATAAAGTACTATTCATATTTTATCATCTAATAACAATAAAAATACTAATCATAAAAAAATTTTAAATAAGACGGACGATTAAAGTTGGACACGGAAACTTTGAATGAGACAAATCCGAGCATGTCCAGATTCAGTAGTAAAATGTATCCCATCTAATATTAGGGCTGTGTTTAGATCCAGGGGTGTAAAGTTTTGGCGTGTCACATCGGATATACGGACACATATTTGAAGTATTAAACGTAGACTAATAACAAAACAAATTATAGAATCCGCCTGTAAACTGCTAGATGAATTTATTAACCCTAATTAATCTATCATTAGCAAATGTTTGCTGTAGCACCACATTGTCAGATCATGGAGCAATTAGGCTTAAAAGATTCGTCTCGCAATTTACACGCAATCCGTATAGTTAGTTATTTTTTTCGTTTATATTTAATATTCCATTCATGTATCCAAACATTCGATGTGATAGGGTGAAAAATTTTACCGGGGGATCTAAAAGGGCCTAGATTGCTATATTATGAGACGAATGGAGTAATAATTTTTGCATTCAGAATTCATTCTAAGATATAATAAATTTTCCACCTACATTCTATTTCCAACTAATACCAATTCTTTTATTTTATTTTTTTATTAATTTTTTTCTCAATCTTTTATATGTAATTTCATCAATTTTCTTAATATTCGTGTCCGGTTGAACGGAGCTAATACCAGTGGTACCACGAGTACGGAGGTTTATGCCAAGCATGTTCACATGTCAGCTGTCAAAGACGAGACGTGTAGCTTACCTTATATTAGGACGGTACGTCGTCCTACGTGGAATGGAAGCAGAGATGGACCTGTACTGTACACAGCACACCGGAGCCGATTAGCAGCAGGCCAGTCTAGTGTACTCCCTTCGTACTACGAAAACGAATTAACCAAATATAACATATTCAAATATAACATATTCTAATACGATAAATCTGTACACACGTATATTTAGATTTATAATATTAGGATATGTCATATCTGGTAATAGATTGGTTTTTTATAGAACGGAGGAAGTAGGCGGTCAGCGCTGGGCGCATGGCTAAATTGGCTACTCCTAGTAGGGTGGGTGGTCCGCCGCCGGCCGGCGACTGCTCCGCCGGAAGGATACCGACACGACCGGCCACCGCCTCAAAAGCCGCGCGCGCAACTCCCCCTACCAGCTACCAGCTACAGTATTTCCCCATACTCGCTGCTGCGCAAGCAGTTGTACTATGCTTCGTAGGTGCAGCCCATAGGGAGAATGTCTCCTCTTTTTTAGTCTTAATATTTTAACTGCTCTTTGTCTCTCAAATGTGGATCAAATTCTCATATTCTAACCCATATTTTTTTTTTCAAATTCAAAATCAGATAAGAATGGTGCCGAATTATATACCACTTATCTCATTTTATGTCCCATATTATTTCCTATGTATTAGATATTAACTATGGAGAAACACTTAAAGTGTTAAATAGATACACCAAGTAAAAAATTATACAATATTACATTTGAGCTTGTAAAATACTCCCTCCATCTCAGGAAAAACTAACTTTTGAAGATTAATTGTGACAAGTATTTATCCAGATTCATCCCTAAAAGTTGTTTCTTTTGGAGACGGTGGGTGTAATGATTAACATATCTTTTATTATGTTTGTAATGTTTGTAGGTGGAGTTATAATAGATTGTTCATATGTGTTTCATAACATAGGATATGAGGGCATATCCTAACCCATATTTTACTGCGTTTCTTTTTTTTCCTCCCACGTTCTTCCTATGAGTCTCAGGTCGAGCGGTCGGTCGGAAAATACCCTTCCCATTTTCATCCATACTCTCCATCCTAAAATGTAATAGTTCTTTTAACTACATTATCTTTCCAACCAATTACAATATTTTATCTTTAAATAAATTTCACAAAACTACAGATACTTTGGTTAAATTATCACAAAACTATAGATTTAAGAAGATGTATCACAAAACTACAGATTTAGTACTAAATTTCTCAGAGAACTACAGATTTAAGATAGGGTATTGCAAAACTACAGATTTAGTACCAAAATTATCACAAAACTATAGGTTTAGTGTCAATTCAATCACAAAACTTAGACATTTATAACTCAAATATAACACTAGTGCTAAGGATTTAAACTCCAATAGTTGTACTAAATCTATAGTTTTGCGATACTCCACCTTAAATATGTAGTTCTCTGAGAATTTTAGTGTTAAATATGTAGTTTTATGAAACATCTCCTTAAATCTGTAGTTTTGTGATAATTTGACTGAAGTATTTGTAGTTTTGTAAAATTTACTCTTTTATCTTTTAATTTCCTCACTTACTTTAGTTTCTTAACCAATCATAGTTCTTTTTCATTTAATTTTATCGATTTTTTTAAAACCTAGTTTGAGACGGAGATACTAGCTTGGTAGTATTATTTGGCACCGTAAAACTTGTTTAGCGCGTCCCGTTTCGCTGTTTTTTTTTCTCCTTGGTCTTTAGTGTCGACCTTAGTTTTTTTTTTTTTTACCTTAATAGGACCTTCCGGTTTATTTGCACCTGGAAGATCGAAGAAGGCCCTGCTGCCTGGTCGTACGAGCACGACATGTTTTGGTACGAGTAATAATCTGTTGTTGCCTGCTCGTACGGCGTGTGTAGGAGTAATAATCTGTTAAGAGGTAACTGTTACTAGTAATTCTGTCCACTGGATTAGGACCAAATTACCACACCTGACGAAGACACAAATCTCTTTTATACAGGTTTAGTATTAATTAGTACTCGTAGGACATAATATACAAAAATACCTACCTCTAATACTTATCCCCGTTATTATAGAATCATATTTTTTTCTTTATTTTTAATCCACTCTTTATTTTTTTTCTATATGTGCCTCAGGGTGGCTCATTCTCTTGTCCAGAGCGTTTAATAATCTTCAAGTCCCATTTACAATGCACATATTCTACAGAAATCGATTAGGTTTTTATCTGGAGCAATTTTAATCCTACTTAGAGCTTACAAACTTATTATAGTCGTCATGATAATTATAGTTTTATATAAAATAACCGCAAAAAATATACATTCAGAACAACATCAATATTTCTCACACGATGACACGGATAAGAAGAAAAGAAACCTACTCCTAAGGGCATGTCCAACAAAAGGAGCACCCCCAACATCCCACATGAGCAAAAGTGATGAAGGACCAGACTAGGGATATGCCTCACATTGTAAGCCATACCATCTCATTTTTACAATTCAGCACCTGTCAGTCGGTCACATTTTGTATTTAAACCCTTGGATTATTTTTATTCACATATAAGTCCAATATTTCAAGTATACCCCCCAGAAATCATAAACATATAAAAACATCAACCCCTCCTCTCCTCACCATATTTCCCCAATTTCTCCGGCGGTCTCTTCCCCGGCTTCGCCTCTCTCTCCCTGCACCTCCCCTCCCCGATGGCGCCGCCTCTCCCCGGCCCGGCCTTCTCTCCCCATCACCGGATCAAGCGGCGGTGGTGGCGGATCGAGGCGGCTGCTGCAGATCCACGCAGCGGCGGCCGGGATCGAGACGGTGGCCGCGGATCCACGCGGCGGCGACCGGGATCGACGCGGTGGCCGACCCATCGACATGGCGGTGCTTGGTATCGATGCGGCGATGGCCAGGACCACATCCCATCAATCTCCGATGCGCCGCTGCACTTCTTCTCCCCCACCGGTTAGCCTCGAGCTCGCCGGATCCACACGGCAACGACGGCCTCGACCTTGACTGTGATGGCAATGGCGCGGGAGCTCGAGTTGATGGCGAGCTGGAGCGACGGCATGGGGCGACACAGCTACCCAACACGCATCCTGGTCGATTCCTCCGAGCAAAAATGCGATGCCTCTGAGAAGGGCGCGTGGACCTCCAGCAGCATTCGCGCACCCCTACAGGGATGCGGCTCCTTCCGAGGTGACGTGAATATTCGCTTTCAGAGGTGTGAGACCACGCTCCAGGGTGGAGCGCTAGGCATGCCCTAACATGTCTTCTCTTGAATTATGAAAAAAAAATTTACAGGGTGATCATCATCTCAATATGCTCGGTCATCACTGGCTTATATAGCTGTGGGCCACCGGATTTCGCGAAATTCCATTTTCCACCGGTGCCCGAAACGAAAGGGGCTGTCAGAATCGTAAACCCTGGCTGTGGCAATGGCATGACCAAATTGTTAGCTTGCAGTCTCAAAAAAAAATGTGAGCTTGCAATAAGCCATTAAAACCCACTAATCCAGCCAAGTAATGCCGATTTTTACCCCACCTGGACCTGGACAAGGTGCCCCCAGATGGAGGAAGCCAGAGCAAACCAAAACCAAAGTGGGCACCACCAGCATCAGAATGCCCTTTATTCAAGGGGGCCCCACATTGTCAGCAGCTAGGCTAGTAACAGGTCATCATGCCTGAATAGGAAGAGGCAACAACCAATTGCCACACTTTCTTGCACAAAAACCCCTGACAGATCACAATATCACATGGCAAGTGTAGCCCAAGAAAACCCACAAGAATGCCATGGAGAAGAAGCTTCTGCTGCTTCTCTCTCTCTCTCTGTGTCTAGTCTACCAGCTTGCTGTATATTATTAGGTGCAACAGGGCAGCAGGCAGTGGTGGCCAACAATAGACAATTGGACAACCTGTTTCCTCCTCTTCGGCTCTCCTCCTCCTCCTCTTGCCTTCTCTTCTTCTTGTTCTTGCCCAATCCTAGTAGAAGCGCCTAACTTGTCGTTTGCTGTGGCTTGGGTTTTGAGAGCCGGAGGAGGCAGGATTGATTTTTCCATGATTGGGTTTTCTTGATTGATTGGCGCCTGCTGCTGCGGTGCGGTTGGTCCAAGAACCGGGATTTCCCGGCGCGGAATCCGGTCATCCAAGAGGTGAGATGATCTTTCTTTCCTTGCCCTGCTTCTCTCGCGGTTCTTTAGGCGTTCTTGGCGTTTCTGTTCTTCAATTATTATTATTACTATTTGTTAATTTTGAAGAAGTGGAGCGGGATTGTTCGCCTGTTCGTTGCTTTTGGCGAGTGTAGAATCCTGAAAATTTTAATGAGGTGGATGTGAGAGTCTGTTCTGTTGGTGGTGATTTTTGTCCCGGCCGTGAAGAACAACCGCTGCTCTACTGGGTGGTTCTTGATTTGGTTTTGGTCCGTTCTGCCAGTGTTGCTTGTTCTTTCTCAACTGCGAGGTGTGAGCATGGCGTTAAATTCCATCTTTTAGTGTTTATCCTCTAAATTTCTGAATTTTTGGGGGCGGTTGGATGGTTACACTCCATCCCGTATTTGAGGGCAAAGACAACTTCTATGTTAAATTCTGTTTTGTTTCTCTGTCAATTGGTCAGTCAGTATAAATTTGGCCCGTTCTTCACGCCAGTGAGGCGAAAATTGTTCAATCGGTTCAATCTTCAGAGAATTTCTTTATGGAAAAATCACAACTTCCGATTAGTGGATCAAGTCTCTTTCTTTGCGGTTTTTCCCCTGCAAATTTTTATGTCAAGTTTTGAGGCGGTAGCAGCAGCAGTCGTTTTCAGCATAGAAATATGCACATTGGAGGTATCGAATATTGTTTAATTTGTTTGGTAGTTTTGCTGAGGATATTCACCCAAGAACATAGTCTTCCCGGTCAGAAAAAATAATCTGATATATTAGTGGCAGTCCTCTTCTGAAGTCATCTCAGCTGAAATCTAGCCTGTTTTTCTTGCGGGTATTTTGTCGCTGGAGTTTTAATTTAGAAGTTTAAATTAAAGTTAAGGTTGTTTATATATATACGCTTATTGCTCCTCACCAATTAGTACAGTGAATTAACAAGCCTTAATTTCTTTATTAATCTGATATACATTGGGGGTGAACTGCTAAACTCTGGTCAAAGGCTGCTTGCCTGACCACACACTTCTTTTTTTCTGCAACTTGTGACAGGTCAAGTAGTGCATGTTACACGGTTTCTTCCGAGTGGTGCAAGAACTAGACCTTGTTTAGGCTTAACGTCTGATTTGTTTTTTTTTAACTTAGAAATTAAGCTACACTAAAATACCTAGTAGTAGCATGTTTTTGGTTTTGGTCGGTTGCACATTGTGGTGAGACAGGAAGTGCATAACACTTTTCCATTATTAGAAAAAGATTAGGTTGTTTTTGGATGATTTCCTTGATTTTGGGGGTGCTAAATAGTAGTAGTGCTGTTTGATTACATTTCGTCAAAATTACTTTTTTGACCTGCCTTTTGCTGTGCCATGGCCGATAGCCGTGCAGGGTTTGTCTGGGCTTTATCAGTGCACATATTTTTATGGTTCTTTAATCTGTGGTTACTCTCTGCTAGTGGTTTATTACCCAGCTGTAATCACCTGTTCATAGCGTGGAGCGTTTTGTTAATGCCTATTTAATGGAGTGATTCATTTTACTTTCCTGCCATGTCTTGGTAACTGCAAGCCAGATGTAGTAGTATATTAAAAGTTTCCCCTCCTAGTTTTGCTGGGGACCAAGAACATTGTCCAGCTTGTCTAAATACCAAAAGAAGTCTTCCCTTGCAAAGAGAGTGGAAGTGTGTTTTGCACTCTGAAAGTCTAGCTGGCATATTCTCATGATACTTTTCTCAATTTCTACTCCATTCCAGGTGCATCTGAATAGATAAGAAGAGAACATAATCTTTGGGCATTCTCTGTGGTTGATCTCTGAAAAAGGTATCAAACAGCCTGCAAATTAGGTCTCCTGCTCTTTCCATCAAAATGTCAGGTATCATTTTTTTTCTTATCTTATTTATATATTTGTGATGGGTTGCTGATGAAATGGTTGCTCATTAGTTTACTAATGGGTGCTATTGTGCTTTGTGTGTAAAGTTCGGCGCCGATCAGAGAGTATGGAGGGCCTGTTCTCGTTTGACGAGAGGAAAGATCGAAGGTCAGATGTGGAGAACTCGGAGGACGAGCGGAGAAGGCTATCCATTGGGTCACTCAAGAAGAAGGCACTGAATGCATCAAACAAGCTAACACATTCACTCAAGAAGAGGGGGAAGAGAAAGGTGGAGAATCGGCCCTCATTCACAATCGAAGATGTCAGGGATGAAGAAGAGGAGCGTGCTGTCTTTTCCTTCCAGCAGGAGCTTTTTAGCAGGAACTTGCTGCCTGACAAGCATAACGATTACCACATGTTGCTGAGGTTGGTGTTGGAACAATGCTGAAAGATTGAGAGCTACTGAAGCATGCAGTTGTTTGTTTCTTTCTTTCTTCCTTTCTTTTTTTCTTTTGTGCTGAAGCTCTTTCTAGTTTTATTTGCAATATGTGTCTAAAAGTTGTATGCCTTCATTATCTCTATAGGTTTTTGAAGGCTAGGAAATTTGACACTGAGAAAGCCATTCAAATGTGGGCTGAGATGCTCCAGTGGAGGAAAGAATTCGGCGCAGACACAATACTAGAGGTGAGGCTAAACGGCTAATGCTGCTATTAATTGATACATAAAAATTGAAAATTTAACTTCGCCAGATACTTCCTGAAGGATATTCAAATATGTTGGTCCATGTACACATTGTTTTGTTTACATAAATAGGAGATTCCATCTGGCATCTTAAACTAGGAGTGCTTTAAGGTATAGACTATAGAGTGATGAGTAGTAGTACGTATTTTATCCCCAAGCTCAAATCGGTTTATTTTGAAAGGATAACTGATGTCTACAAATAAATATTGCAGGACTTCAATTTTGAAGAGCTAGACGAGGTCCTTGTCTATTATCCTCAGGGTTACCATGGAGTTGACAGGCAGGGAAGACCGGTATACATAGAGAGACTAGGAAAAGTTGAACCAAATAAACTGATGCACATTACTACAGTTGACCGCTATATGAAGTATCATGTACAAGAGTTTGAGAGAGCATTCCATGAAAAGTTTCCAGCATGCTCTATTGCAGCGAAAAGGCATATTGATTCTACTACGACCATACTTGATGTCGATGGTGTGGTATGCTGATTCTTCTCATATCTGAAATCACATTTGTTTGTGCTGCAAATTCTCACGAATTATTTTATTACAAACTGTAATCCTAATAATGTTCCTACTATTCATTGCCAATTCTGTTGCAGGGTCTCAAGAACTTCAGCAAAACAGCCAGGGACATGCTGGGTAGAATGCAGAAGATTGACAGTGACTATTATCCTGAGGTATGCTACTTTTGTTAATTTCCTTGATCAATCCAAGGACTAAGTTTGGTTTACACTTTACCTGTATACTCAGACACTGCATCAGATGTTTGTTGTGAATGCTGGTAATGGTTTCAAACTACTCTGGAATACAGTGAAAGGCTTCCTTGATCCCAAAACTGCATCAAAGATACATGTGAGTATGAATCCTCCCTGGAGATATTCCTTTTCCTGCTCTTGTCCAAATAAATATACTATATTTTAATGGAGCTTCGTTTATAGGTTTTGGGAACAAAATTTCATGGAAAACTCCTTGAAGTGATAGATGCAAGGTAAGCTTTCCATTCAGAAACATTTTATATGGTTTCTTGATCATAATGATTTTGTCGTCATGTCTTTGATTTAATGCACATTGTTTTGCTATTTACAGCCAACTTCCTGAATTTTTGGGTGGAGCATGCACTTGTGCTGCTGAGGGAGGATGCCTCAAGTCTAACAAAGGCCCATGGAATGATCCTAACATTATGAAGGTAATTTTTGTTGATTTATTTCCTAAAAATATATGTGCTTCTTCTTAGTAAGGTTTAATAGTGGTTCAAAATTTGGATTATTTTTGTTGCTTTTGAATTGTGACAAGTGACAATATGATAATGCCTAGTTGATTTAGATTACTTAACTTACTACATAAAAACCCCAATATCTTTGTTCTCGGCATGCTTAAATTATAAATAGAACATGTTATATAATCAATCATTCAGGATTCTCTCTCTCTCTCTCTCTCTCTCTCTCTCTCTCTCTCTCTCTCTCTTCTGAAGAAAGCACACAGATCTCCTTATCTAGTTCAAACAATATTTTCAAAAGAATATTTTTTTTCCATACATGTTATACTGAAGTTTATAGCAGCATCCTCAACCGTGGTAATTTTGGTGGTTGCTTGCAGCTTGCACATAATAAGGAGGCAAAATTTACTAGACATACTCGGCGCTTGTCTGAGATTGAGCAACGAAGGGGTTCATTTGCTAGGCTACATCTTTTGAAGGTAAAGTCCACTTTTTATGTCTGAAGTCTGAACAACTTATATTGTTATGTTGAATATTCTAAAACATGAATGAAGGCATTGTGCTCTCCCATGAACCAGTTCACATTGACAATTAATAGCGTTTTTTTTTTCATGTACTCATGACAGGGTAGAAGCAGTGACACATCAACAGTGGAGTCGGGTTCAGATGTTGATGATCTCAGTTCTCCAATGATGAGAAGGCCAGTGGAATGTAGTCGATTAGCTCCAGTTCGTGAAGAAGTAAGCTTTTCCCTTATTCAGTTGTAGCATGAACTTGTTTATTCATGTGCCCATGCAAATTATTTTCTTAGTGTTTACGAAATCTCTTATATTCTACACAGATGCAGATCAGAGCACGAGACTCTGCAGCTTACTACAGCTGCGATGATCACTTTGTTGTGGTAGACAAAACTGTTGACTATGGTAGAGGAGGAGCGATGCCTGATAAAACTAGTGCCCCAGAAGTAAGAGCTCAAGCTCGGCCTTTTGGAGGTAGCACAACATCATATGCAACGGGTATGTTTATTTATAGTCTTCATATGTCATTTTATGTAATTCAGCAAATCTGTTTTTTTTTTATTCTCCCCTTACAAGATTCTATTCACCTTTGTAATTCTTATGGATAAGCTTTCCCTTGTGAATATTATGTCTGTGTTAAGCAAGGACAGCATTATACTTATCCCTATGCATTAATGTTTCTTGAAACATCCCTATGCATTAATGAAAGAACAAGCTATTGAACTTACTATTCTTAGACCTTAGTTCTTCCTTAGAACCATTCTTAACTATTTGCTTCGAGTAGTCTGTTCAGTGTTTTTTGTTTGTATAGGTTCCTCAAGCAACAGAGGCGGTATTTCCTCGAGCAACAGAAGCCGAACAGTCGTACCTAAAGAGAACACGGATGAAGGATTTTTCCGCCGTTTCTTCAGATTACTGCTGGCCTTGATTATAAAAGTTTTTGCCTTCTTCCACATAGCATATGGTCAGCAGGAGATGCGGGTTGACAATCCATTGCCTCCAGCTGAGCCTGAACCAACTTCTGATGATCATCCAGCAGTGGAGACTTTCAGTGTAGACCGCATCAGTCCTGTCATCGAGCGGCTTCAGAGGCTCGAGGGTAAGGTCGATGAGCTTGGCAACAAGCCACCAGAGATTCCCTTGGAGAAAGAGCGCTCCCTCTTGGAATCTTGGGATAGGATAAAATGTATCGAATCTGATCTCGAACGCACAAAGAAGGTAAGATGATCACATTATTTTCTGTCTGAGTCTTATCTCTATTTTCAAAATCCAGAAACTATTTCATAGTATATGAATATGAATAACTCTTTATCGTGCCTAAATATTTACTGTCAATAGCATAGAATTTAGATTATTAAACTCAGTACCAAACTACAAACTGAATACTATTATTTTAAGTGTTTCAAAAGAGGCAAGCCCACTGGTAAGATAGATAGAAAATATATGCACGGCACCTTGAATTTTATCTCTTTTTACAAAAATCAAGGTAGGTCAGAATCTTCTTATAGTCTTCTATATTACGGTGCTTGTGAAAATTGTCATAGCCTCCTGATAAAAAAAAAATGTCATAACCTTCTACCGAACTACCATTTAAATCTTGAGGCCCATCTCAAGTGTAAATATGAAACCTTTCCTCCTTACATTTATCAGGTGCTGCAAGCTACCGTGATGAAGCAACTGGAAATTGCAGAATCAATAGAGGAAGTGATTAGGAGGCAGCTAAGGGTAAAATTGGTCGCTCCTTCTGTTTCATCTTCTAACATGGATTGGCGTATCATATGCATATTCCATCTCACTGTTTTCCTGCATTGACTCTCCTTACACAGAGACGAAGATTTTGTGCGTAATAAAGAGACCTAACTCCAGAATTAACAACACATGTCATTGAGAAATAAGACTCAGGAGTACATTTGGCGGCAAAATTATGCATAGGACATGGTTGATGAGTGCAGACACTTGGATTCGGTGTTTGGATTGGCTCAAAGAATGGGTGGCAGGAGCCCAGAAACAGCAAAATATCAGCTCCCCTTCTGAATCTAAGAGGCTTGTCTATCCTTGATGTTAGCATAGGATGTTAGGATGGATGGCAAAAAGAAATGTAGAATAGGTAAAAATGGGAATGGATGTGAAACATATGTCATTGTCTGCATCTAGAAACATAAGCATCGAGTTCTCTTTGCCAAACAAATTTTCTTTATGTGATCCTGTGGTATGGCAAAATTGTAAGGGAAATTGTAAGAATTATGGAAAGTGCCTTGCATCAGGAATTGAGAGGCAAAGAGAAATGTAATCATCAAAATGATTACATTGTGAAAGTTGTGTCTTCTGCTCTAGCAAAGGGATTTTGTCAGAACTGAGTGATCACTACTAATTGTTTCTAATTAACCTGAAATTTCACTGCGCAATGGAAGTTTTTTTTTCTTTTCGCTGGGCTGCGCAATGGAAGTTGAGATCAATTCATCAGTAGATATGATAGTTGGACTTGTTTGATGTTCAGTTGCCAGTTGCCACCAGTCTTCTGTAGCTGTAATGTCATGCCATGAGTTCAGTTAGTAATAAGACTTTTTATGAGAGATTGTACGGTGAATGAGCTTCCCATTCTGTTGTGTCAAGAAAGTGGCAACATGATGGCGCAGTCCTTGTCTGTCCTCGTTGCATTGCTTTTACGTACACAATGTGACATCAGTCAGACATACTATCTCTGGCAGCGACCGAAAGGCACGCAACCCTGCAAATGATAAGTCCAAAGAGGCTGCATTCACAGTCTGTGTTTTCAGTTCACATTTCAGTACTGGTGTATTTTTCAGAACTAGTCCCTCCATCTTTGAATATATCAATATAGATTAAATATACTATAAATCTGAATTTATATTTAATCGAGATTGATATATTTTAAGACTAACAGAATATAACCGAAGCTTCATTCATTCAGAGAACCACAACTACTCCCGATAGGGGTGAAAACCGGGGGGGTGGGGGGGGGGGGTGAAAACGGTAATGGTAATTCCCGGCCAACCGACGTTTGTTTCCGGTAAGGGCGAGCCATATGGAAACGGAAATGGTTTTGCTGTTATACCGATCGTTTCTGTATTTACGTATTCTTATGGAAATTACCGTTTCTTATAATATGGTAATTACCGTATTTCTAAATATGATTTATAGGGCATGTCTCTACTTGACCCATAATTTAGAGATTGACGGACTCTTTAATCAAATCCCTAACTTGAGTGCATGGTTAAAATGAAGTTAATTTATAATTTATATAGTATAAGTTTGAATTTATTTATACATATAACATACTTATGTAAAGTTAAATATATGTTTTCATAGTTTAATGTTTCCGTATTTGTTACCGGTTTACGATCTGCACCGACATGTTTCCGTATGTATTGTTTCGTTTCTGGTTTTCCAATAATTCCGATATAGTTTTTGTTTCCGACTTTACCGTATTTGATTTTGTTTCCAAGAAAAATAAGGTTATGGAAATGGTTGAGGCTATTTTGCGATCGTTTCAGACCATTTTCCTCCCTAGCTCCCGAGTGGGTGGTTGCAATAGCCCTATGTGAGAGCATTTATGAACAGTAATAATATCTTTTCAAACTTCGAATAAAAGTTTGTCCAACACCCTAATTAAACCGGGCGCCTAACCCATGAACTTGGGTAAAATTCAAAATTATTCTAGAAAGATATCAATCTAAAAACAAACAAATTCAAAATTATTCTATAAGGATATCAATCTAAAAACAAACAAATTCAAAATTATTCAAGAAGGATATCAATCTAGAAATATTATATTCAAATTAATTTCGCTTAAAATTTCATGTTTTTTAGCTGGGATGGCATAAGAAGAGACTATCCAATGGTATTAAGATTACAAGAAAATTTTTAATTACAACAATAGAAGCCTGTCGAGGTTGTCCGTGCACCGGAGCGTACGCCCAGAAAGCACGTGCTAACCTCACAAAACACAAGCCTGTAAGACGGGGAACCTAGCACCAACCTCACCGCTGCTATACGTGGCCAATCACCGCCAATGCCAACACCGCACCACAAGACAAAGTCTTCAAAAACAATGTCTCCATGGAGGTTATGAGGCCAAATATACCGTCGCTGCTCATATAGGAACCTAGATATGGTTGCCCATAGAGATTTATGTCAAGAGAAGCAGGAGGGAGGCACCTCGACAACGTCCGGGGGTTATGGTAACCCATAGGCATCACCACTATCGGCCCAATGATTCGCCAGTCTAGACTTACACGGTTACACCTGAACCCGATACGATCCTTATCCACCATCCACCATCTCAGTTACCTCTATCCAAAAGTGGTAGCATGAGGCCTCCACCACACCGAACCGACCTCACTTCGCCAGCCGATCGAATTCAATGGGGAAAACATATAAAAGAATCAGGACCATCTGTAGTGCGTCGTCCATTTGAGTTAACCAGCACGTTCTCTTTTAGTAGCGTGTCTATTTCGATAGGGTCATCATCATATAAGTTGAACCTTTCTCTCAAAAAATTCATTGAATTTTTCCGCAAAAATATATACACTGAAATTCATGGGATATGAAACAAAACAGAGTGTGGCGTACCACTAGTACAGAAATCAATTTTGCAATCGGACTTTTCGCATGAGATTGGGTGGCCCGCATGCACCTAGATGTCTGTGAACAGTATTTTTTTCATGTGGGCAGCGCAACCACATGCGAACATCTCATCTTCACATGCGGTCCAAACTAGCCGAAACCCTAGCCTGCCACCACCCAAAAACCCTAGCCCCAAGCTGATGTCGTCGTTGCCGCCACCACCACCTTTGTCATGCTCATCGTCGTCCACCTTGCTGCCTGCCACACACGTGAGAGAGGGGACCGCTAGATCCATGAGGGAGGGGGGCCATCGCTGCCGGATCCGCGTGGGAGGAAGGCTGCCGCCGTCGATGCGCTGCTCCTCCGCTGGTCTCCCACTCGAGCCCGCCGATGGATCTGCGTGGGGGGAAGGCTGCCACCGTCGATGCGCCGCTCCTCCGCCAGTCTCCCATTCGAGCCCACCGCAGACCACTCGCTCCAGCTACCACCGCTTCGGCCGCCGGAGAAGAGAAGGGGGGGAAGGGAGAGGGAGTGGGAGAGGAGTTATGGCGTGGAGAGAAGAGAAAGAAAAAAAGGTGTGGTGCAGAGAAAGAGGAGAAGGAGAAAAAATGGTGCGGAAAAGTGTGTGGGCCCAAGTGCTCTCCATGTAGCCCGCATGTGAAAATCTATTTAAGAGACCTGTATGTGAAAATGGACTCATTTTTGCATGCGGGTATGTTAAGAGGTCCGCCTGTGAAAATTAATTTTTGTATACGAACGTTTTAAGCAACCGTATGCAAAAATGGAATTTTTTTAGAACTAATATTATTTTAATGGAAAATCGCAAAAGTAGTGGCCAACCGGGGGAAATCGCGAATATAGGGGCCTGTCGAACGGGTGTAGTTCGATAGGGCACATATCGAACGGCCGGCGCGTGATTGAAAAGGCGATCAAACGGCTGCAGTTCAACAGGGCATGTCAAACAGTGGCATTTCGACGGGGCCTGTCGAACAGGGGCATTTCGATAGGGTGGGCTGTCGAACAGGGGCAGTGCGACAGGCCCCTGTCGAATACCACCAGTTCGACAGGCTAAGCTGTCGAACAACGGTTGTTCGACTGGTCCACTCGCCCATTTTTTTTTAATAATATGTTGTTTGTTTCATTATTGTAATATTTTATGTGTAAGGAAGGAAAGATTATTTTAATGTTTCATGTATAGGGTTTAGGGTTTTGATAATGTATGGTGGGAAATATTAGTATTTATTTGTTTATTTAATATATTTTATGGGAAATTGTAGTATTTATTTGTTGGTTAAAATATTTGGATTATTTAGTTTCATTATTTGTATATATTTTTGGTTTCATGGCTTTGTCGCAATTTATTTAGTAAGGACGGATAAAGAATAGGAGGGGATCGAAGAGATTGCAGCGGATGCACAAATGAGCTTAATAGATGAAAAAGAGAATGAAACATTAGCTAACACATAGATAAACATAATCCATTCATGAGGCATACAACAACATTGTGAGGACGTCCCAAAGCCTAGGTGGTGCAACGCTCCAAGGCATGTCAGCGCGAAATATCTAGATGGATGGGGTCTCAAATAAAGCCCAAATAAATACGGTAACCATCCAACCTCATCACAGACCCCGACATGTCTTGAAGAGTGCACTACATAGGCTCTAAGCCATCAGATATGAAATAGAAGACACAACCATTGGAATAGCCACACTAGTCATCTATGTCATACGCCCGTCAACCACTCAATGGTGGCGACCAAAAGCGTACCCCAGAGACTCGATCTCAACAAAGGCATATTCCCCGGTTATCTCAACCATTTCAAACCCATCCTCATGTGGGACTAGTTGCCCAGGAATGCAACATAGTCTCACATAAATCATCTCAAGCATGATATCCAAATAATAAGTGGTTCTAAGCAATAAGCATAAATAATCTTAATAAGGTTCTAAGTAGTACTTGGTGACAAGCCATAAATATTGGTTCATGCGGTAAGCGTGCTACCCAAAAGCCCATAGGCAAACCGACTAGGATAAATCCCTAGTTAGAACCATCCTAGAAATCTGCAACATCACAAGCTGCATCAAACTCCTCATCCAAACAGTCATTACCTGCAGCGGGGTCCGAGCATAAACAAGTAATAGAAAGCAAGAAATCAGTACATTAATCAAATTAATGTACTGGCAAGTCGGAAACAATCCTAGCATACTACATGTTGGCCATATTCAAGGATAAGCTGTGTATAGGTTAATTTGCATAAATGCCAATTTTAGTTCACAACATGTTTCGCAACGGAATTTTATAACAATAGTATAGAGTAAGTAAAACTTGTAATGTGAATGAATAAATAATACACATCTACCCCTCAAGGTAGATCATCACCACTCTCCATCATCTCATCACCATTCACCGAACTTTACCCAAGTTCACAAACAAAACATTCCAACCATTTTCCAGGTTCACAAGAGTTTATCAAAATCACAAATTATACTCATGACACTTCACCATGCCGCTCATGACCGTGAGCACGGCTAATCGATTAGTTTTAGACTCTGCAGAGTTTGTACAACTTTTAAGCCCACATGATATGGATCGCTCTAGTTTTTCCGATACCCGTCGGTATCACCACACTCTACACATTGAGTGTGATCTAGAGGTCATAACGGAACCGTTACATTGTTTATTGTCTAGCCTTGCACCAGCACGATGTGTGTTTT